TTTTTTTAAATACATTTCAAAATATATTTTGGTAAATTAAGGTTGAAACTACATATTTCTATTTCAAAAATATATTTCATTGAGTGTCACTGTTTGCAACATATATTTATCATATATTTTGGCCACAAAAATATATATTTTTTGCCATGTGGGATATATGGTGTAGAGCAAGGTAAACTTATTGATCTTTGAAGCTTAAGTGTGATATGGAGATGGTATTAATATTTATGATTTCTGTCACTGTGTAAATGGTTAACAGACCGACATTGCTTTAAGCAACGACCGTCTAGTGACCCTGTTCACTCATGCACTTCTCACACCTCTCATCTTATCTAAGGAGGTGTTGAGGTGACACCAGCCCTCACACTAGATCACAGCCATTCTGCTCACTTTCTGCTCGGACACACATGCCCAGGTCAAGACACGGAGCCAGGGTGACCATTCCCACATCAGCACCTACATACTCTTGACCGGAACGCTGACCTCAGATTCCAGCACCCTTTGTTTCTACAATTTTTCTGTTACACATGAAAGTGTTTTTTTTTTGGCCAGTATTTGAGCTTAAAGAGATAGAGTTTAAAGAACTCAATCAACAGAGTTTTCGGGATTAGGCTGTTCTTGAGTAATAGACCTGGCAAATATGCCTAGATGAGGAAAAATAAATGCTGATGAATTAGTTTAGCAATAGAGTGCAATTAACTGATACAACGGGGCAAACTGTGGTTCTCAAATGAAAGGTCACCGGTCTATTCTGATTGAGCACAGGAAGGGAAAATTTGGTAGAAATACGTTTTAAAGATTTGCTAGAATTTTTTTTTGTAACATATTGTGTTTAATTCATATTATAAAGTAATACTTTTATTCAGAAAGGATGCATTACATTGATCAAAATTGACAGTAAAGACATTTAAAATGTAACAAATTATTTCAAATTCAAATAAATGCTGTTCTTTTGAGCTTTCTATTAATTGAAGAATCCTGGAACAAATATATTAGGGTTTCCACAAAAATATGAAGCAGCACAACTGCTTTCAACATTGATACTAATAAGAAATATTTCTTGAGCACCAAATCAGCATATGAGAATGATTTCTGAAGGATCATGTGACACTGAAGACTGGAGTAATGATGCTGACTATTCAACTTTGCCATCACAGGAAAAAATGACATTTTAAAATACATTAAAATAGAATTGTTAGATCCTACCTGTCCGATCGCTACCACCTTGTTCATTTAAA